GATGCCGGGGTCGCTGGGGTGGCGGGGGTCACTTGGGGCAGCTGCTCATTCTTCCACCCCTTCTTTCCAGGCATCTCCACAGGTGTGACCTCTGCTACAGAACCCAGAGAATTCAGTCTATTTTCAATTTTCCTGAGCTGAGTGACACACTCAACTTCCAGTTCTGAAAAGGAAAGCAAAGCATGAAATTAACATTGACAGTTGTTAGACCAAAGGGTACCCAGAAAGTTAACAAAAGTGAGAAGTTGTACATCCCAAGAAGCATTTCTCTTCAATTTCCTTTATGTGCACCTGTCCCCCAAAATGTGAGAAAAACTTAGAACATACACACACACACACACACACTACACACTAACACACGGTGGCTCTCAAACAAAAAAGTTTAGAATATACTTAACTTTCTAATCTTAAAAAAAAAAAAATCCAGGATGAGACAGTGTTATCTTACTTTCAGATTTGGAAATTTTGGCTCTGGCAGCCAACTGTGGTTATCCTTTTTGTCTCTCATTTAAAGTTGGCCAGAAAACATATATCATATTCAAAACAATTGCATTCTTTATAAATACATTTGTTTTTCAAATATTAATTATTTCACAGCTCATTATGTACTCCTTTAAAAACTCCTTGACATTTTCTCATAAAACACTTCAAAAAATCTTATTCCAAAATTCTGCCCACACTTGCTAAAATAATTTAAAATCTACCTGTTAACCTAAACCAGCGTCTTCCTACAAGCTAATCTGTAACAATTCATTGCCTTTACTGGAAAGAATGAAGTAGAAAATAAGTTTAATTCACATGTTCACAACTTTTTAGATTTTAGGTGCTGTAATTAACTTATTTTCATAAAAAAATTCTAGTAACAATTTCCAATTAAACTGCCATCAATAAAAATAACATAGTTATTAACATATTAACATATGATTTTCGAAGCCCTGAACTCTATTGAGGAAAAATGATTCCTTTCACTGGATGGGGGTGGGGGACAAAAAAACTTTTCTCCCTTTTTAAAAAAAAACTATTCTGGGATTAACCCAGGGCCTCTCCATACTAGGTCAGCACTCCTACCACTGAGTTAAACTCCCAGGCCTGTTTCCTACATTTTTTTTTTTTGTATTGCAGTTACACACCAATAAATTTATTAATATATAATTAGGCTAGAGAGAATTATTGTCGTCCCTTATTACTGAGAACTAGGTTAGTCTACCACAAATTAGTTAGATTTTTCAGAAACACGGTCAACACCACAAAAGGTGAGAAAACTTCTATCTCAAGGAAGATGCAAAGAGCAACCTAGTGACTGTGCGAACTTCGCCATGGTCACATTTGTATCACTTCCTCTTAATGCCCCACAGGTGCCATAAAATTAATGAAAATGGTGGCCTATAGTTGTCTGATGTAATAGCAAGACGACCCTTATTGTTCTCCTTGTTACAACTCCTTAGTAGGTAACTGCTGCCTTTAGTAAAATTTATAAAGACTTATAAGTGGGGGAGGGGAGGGCCGATCCAAACAGGACGGGGCTGCAAGTGTTTGGCCAGACAGGGAGGGGGTTTGGGTACCCAGAAAGAGGGTCACCTCCTTCCTGCTCCCCCACCCCAATCCATTCCTTTCAATTCCGATTGTTAAAACGTTAACTAACCGCCTAAGTTCCTTAGCTCCGATTCCTAGCAGGGCCTCCATCCACCCCCTGTCAGTCCTGAGTGGGACCGTGTCAACCTTAAGCACTGCTTTTGTTCCTGCCGGGTGGGGACGGTGGGAACAGATCCTCTCAGAAGTGGGGTCCAGAGGAAGAGGGGCCATCTAGGGAGGCGGTGGGAGGCCTGGTGGCTCCCGGGGCCCTCTCCCGCCCTCGCTCGTCTTGACAATGACCTCCTTTGGGGCGCCGCCTACACTTGCACTTTTTCTCCCCGCCGCCCCGAGGAAGGCCAGGTGGAGAAAAGGGAAAACCACAGTGGACGCAGCAGGGTGGCCTGGCTAAGATGCGGCTGCATCCCAATCCCAGGCTGGGCTCCCTCCCTCGCGGGTCCCGCTTTCTTGGAAAAAACGCCAGAAGAACTTCCCGGGC